CATGGTCGAGTCATGGAGTTCAATATGATGGAGGTAATAAGCTCAAAGACCGAGATTTCATGAAGGTAGAGGAAGCCAAACAAACTGGGAGCAATTGTGCCAAATATGTAAAACCCATTACTCTCAACGTTGATCAAGTTAAATTAAAGGAGAAATTGAAGAATAATATAGGAAAAATCCATTACTCTCAAACCTTGATCAAGTTAATAGGATTTATTCTTAGGAGTCTAGTTACGTTTCTACAATAGTTTAGGAGTTTAATTCCAATTTTAATTAGGTTTAGGGAATGTTAGTATAAATAGGATTATTCATTGTATTTTTTACAACTTGTATCATGTTGCGTATTTTACTCGTGTTGAATAGCATGTCCTATATATGTACTCATTTTGCAGAGAATCTTACAGCCCATTTTTGCTGTATAACATGTCTCCAATCATGCAGCCTTTGTCTTTTTTGTTTTCATTCTCCTAATCAATTAGCCCACTTGCTACAACAAGGCAAACTTAGTTTTTGCATTCCCCTATATAAATGAATGTCCCCCAATGGGTGGCTAAGAACCTTATTACGATAACGTGTTCCTGGATTGGTGGTACGCTATGGGTGATCTGAGCTTTGATTGCGTGCTACAACCAGGATCCGATGTAGAAGAAGAGCTCGAGGATGAGTTGTTCGACCGTCTTGCGAATGACGTGACAACTCGGGTCACATTTTCAACCATTACAGGGACCGATGCTCGGATCTATTATCGCACACAGCGAAATCGGGTGCGACAATTCCTGTTCTCCATAAATGGGCACATGTTCATGATGGATGCTATGAGCGGGAATGGAAAGATGTGCTACCAGGAGTTCCGAATGTACTTACGAATGTTGCGCCACTTTGCACATTTGCTGCGAGACGAATACGGTTTAACAAGTAGCCAGCAGGTAGATATCTACGAGAAAGTTGGTATGTTCCTGTGCATACTTGCACACGGGAAGGGATATCGACAAGTGACAACGATTTTCAGTCACTCTTGGCAAACCGTCTGTCAATTCTTCAAAGAGGTGCAACGTGCCGTCATGTCGCTATCTGAACGTATTATACGATCGACGCATAACTACAATGACGGTGTCGAGCCACACAAGCCGGACCCGAACAAGCATCCACTATTTCAAGATTGTGTTAGGGCTATTGACGGAACACATGTGCGAGTCGTGCTCCCGCGTCACGAACGGGTGAACTTCATTGGTCAAAAAGGAATACCAACCCAAAATGTGTTAGCTGCATGTGATTTCAATTTATGTTTCACATTCGTTCTTGCTGGTTATACCGAGAACACGCATGACGCGTCGATTCTAGCTCGTGCTATATACAGCCCGAAGATAAAATTTCCGCAGCCAGCAACGAGAAAGTATTATTTGGTGGATACCAATTTTGCTCATCGGCCAGGATATATGGCCCCGTACAAAGGTTCAGACATACTATATCACTTTCAGCAGTTTCGCGACGAATGAACAGGTCAGCGTCGTAGGTTTCGAAATGCTCGTAAGAAGTTCAACTTCAGGCACTCTTCGTGCAGGAAATGTTATTGAACGTGCATTTGGTGTATTGAAGCAGAGATGAAAAATCCTTGATCGTACGCCTAGTTACTCGTTCCCAACACAAGTTGCAATTGTCTTAGCTACTATGGCCGTTCACAATTTTCTGCGTCGTTCGGGATTTGTGGACGAGGCGTTCGCAAGAGCGGAAATGGATGATGACATTGCCGAGGTGGAGTTACCTAATTCTGAGGATGAAATTCAGGTCGAAGTAAAGGCGCCGGAGATACCACGGAATGAGTGGGATAGACTTCGCGATAACATGGCACAACAACCGTGACGATCGCATTTAGGGACCTCACGTGCGGCACGTGAAAATTGGTTTGAAGGTACTTCAACACTTTGTTTCAATGTTGTTGTCACCGTTGCAAGAGTTCTATCCGTGTGTTATATGTATGTACTTATGTAGAATGTGAAAATTGGTTTGAAGATACTTCAACACTTTGTATTTTTTTTTTCCATTCACAATAATTGTAGGGACCATCCGCCTATTGGCATCTTTTTTTTTTCATTTGCTTTTAATTTACGTTGTGTTCGGTTCAAGGGGGGACGTTTTTGTTATTTTGAGTTTTTATTTTTTTGTTTGCAAACGTCTAAGCAATTAAAATAGTCACCTAAAAATCTCGGACGTGATTGTATCTGTCTTCATTGTGTTTAATAATGCAAAAATATGGTTGACACTTTTGACTATTCTTTGCCCACTTTTGTGACTGTCTTCATAATGCAGCCTTTTGACTATTTTTTGCCCACTTCTGTGACTTTCCACAATTTGCTGACACTTTCACGTGGTATGGGCAAAATCGGAAATTTTATGCTTCTTGACTGCTGCAACGTCTGATAAATGCACTGTATAGGAGCCCACCATCACAATTGAAACGGTCGAATTTTTCATTAAAATGAGCCAAAAATATGGCACAAACAGAGTTTAGACTTGACTATTGAATCACAAAATTTACTCATATAAAGCCATTTTAGTAATCTCAAATTTTGTTGCCAAGCATATAAATGGGGAGGATTTTTACATTGCTTATTCCCCAAACAAAGAAAGTGGATTATCTTGAGAAGATTGACACTTGTGACAAATATATGTGCCTTTCTTAAAGGTAATATAAAATGTTTATCATGAGGAAATGTGAAACGTCAAATTATAATGCATGATATCTTTTCTTCAATTCTTGCTTTCCACGTTTTTTTTATGGGTTCTTAGTGAAAAGAGTTCTATTAGATTTTTTTTTTCCATTTAATTTATAATTTAATAATTTTTTTCACTTTTATTTGGTTTTACACCATTGAATGTTTGTAGAATGATACTTTTCATTTTAATAATTTCATTTTTTTTGGTCTATTTTTGTTTGTTTTTGTTAATCGCAGTCATTTTACCAGAAATTACAACAAATCTTGACATTTGTATTAATTATTATAAGATAATTATTGGAGTTTTATACATGTGATGTAAATTATTTTATGATGAATGAGTTCATAAGATAGTTGCCAAAACATTACAATTTTCAATCATATGAATATAGAAAATAAAAATTAGAATAAAATTTCTGTTGTTCTGGGAAAATAAAAAATATCGTAAGCACTCTGTATTATTAATATATCTTTTGTCAAGGAAAAAATTAGATTACTTTGCAAGGAATAACTAGTCAAAAATGAATAAATTAAGCTTATGTAAATATAGAAATTGTGTAAGGGTAACACTGTCATTTCACAAAGGCGCTGATCTGACCTTTACAGAAAAAACTAGAATCCGATGTGGATCGAGTGACGGCGTCGTGTAAACACGTGTCCCTAATCGGATTCGCGTCATCACGTTGCTTTATTTACATTATACTCCTTAATATTTTAACATTGTTTTACTTCGCGCTCTCTCAATTCTCAATCAATTGCACAAACAAGAATGGATAATTTTTTATTTTTATTATTATTATTTTTTTTGCCACTCATGAGGTGGCCGAGTTAGTGGATTAGGTAAACGTGGAGGTCTTTAATCACGAGTTCGATTCTCCATATCAACACTTTTTCGGTCAAGTCTGTGCGGTTTACCTGACTAACGTGGTTTGCAGGCTATTGCATCAGCTCAAAGGTTTACCTAGTGCACGTCCGAAGGGTAGGAGCTGTGGGTTCTCCCGTCATTAAAAAAAAAAAAAAGATGGATAAGTTTTAACTTATTTTTATATCTAATGATAATTCAGATCAAGTTGTCTAGAACCAATTAACAAAACATTAAATTGGTACGTGAAATTTCAGTAGTGCAATATTCTATCAATTAGAAGAGTGAATTGTAGCATATGGCAATGATTAAATAAAATATCTCCTGCACTTTGTCAAAGTTTCCTAGTGAAAAGCTTCGATTATCTTGTTTGTTGGTTAATATACTAATTGCGTTACCTATGACAACATGAATAGGAGAAAGAAAGAACATAATTGAATTACCTAATTAGATTCTAATTCTATTTTTGATAAAACCTGGATTCCATTTTTAGGGTATTTTTCTCTTTTTGAATCTTTCTAATCGTTTTCGTCGTAGTAATTAAAAAATAAGCGTGACAAGCGATACAAGTAAATTACAATGGTACAAGAAGAGCAATTTCCCAACTTTTTCTTTACTATTTCACCTATTTTTTCTCTGCAATTTCTTCAAGGGTCCTCAACACTTACATCCCTAGAAATTGGGGTCAAGAAGGTTCTCCCAACAAACCCTTATGTCTATATAGTCATAGTACGTCAAAAGTTGAAGAGAAAAATAGGTTAAATAGTAAAGAAAAGGAAAATTGCTCTTCTCGTATCGTTGTAATTTACTTGTAGAAAAACGAGTGAAAAAAATACAAGAAGAGCAATTTCCTGAATTTTTTCTTTGCTATTTCACTTGTTTTCAGAGCAATACAAGAAGAGCAATTTCCTGAAATTTTTTCTTTGCTATTTCACTTGTTTTTCTCTGAAATTTCTCGAAGTGCTTCAAACGGCAATACAAGAAGAGCAATTTCCTGAATTTTTTCTTTGCTATTTCACTTGTTTTTCTCTGAAATTTCTCCAAGTGCTTCAAGCTTTTATTTGAGGAAAAATATGAGGCTATCTTAGAAATCTATAAATATCTCGGCATATTTATATTATTTATTGTTTCAGGGCTCATTAGTTTGATTTTTCTAGACCTCAAAACGGAATGAAAGGGAAAACCATAAAATAGATATATACAGAATTCAAATACAAAATGACAACCTTTTTACTATAATAAAATACAAACTTTTGCACGATTTCATGCTGTACCTTAATCTAATAATTATTATCAGCAAATATTTTATTCAATACACTGATCGCGTACAAATATATATAGGCGCAGTTTGGGGGTTGTTGCAGTATACAGACGGCTCTTGTTCCCTGACCTGTTGGGACACATCCCGCTATTTACCTTCCTCACAAAGCTCTAGGAGCGGGGTGAGGCGATAGGGACCCCAAGGTTGGGGTTCAACCTTTTTTTTATATATATTACATATCTCAAGACATAAAGAAGCGTGGCTGAGATTGAGCAAAGCTGGCATATGGCAACGCAAATGGCCACCCTCTTCCGGGCTCTTCTTCTTCTGTTCACTCTTTCAGGTACTTATGCTTATTCTGTTCTTTAAGTCATTTTCAACGTGATATCAAGAAACGTTGAGTGTTTTCTATGTTAAATATCCTTTGCATGGATATTTCTTGCTGATAATTTTGAGCTCAGAAATTAAAAAGAATCAGAGAAGGAGATGTGGGTTTATGTTTTTGGGTTATTAGGAAATGGTGAATTATTTCGTTTTTGGAACACTGTAATGGGATTTCTCTGTTTTTCCTATTGTTCTGTTCTTCTAATTGAGGCGGCAGTGTATATATATTAATGTTCAAGATTCAGTTTATTTATTTATTTTTTTCCTAATTTAATTGGTGAAAATGTATTGTGGGATTTTTACCCTTTAACATGCACATGCTGAATACCAATCTTGGAATGGTCTTTGAGCTCTAGACAGATTGAAGTGCTTGCGAGACATTTCGGATTTGACACCATGTTGTGGGATTTAATCCTTAGCAAATTGTCGAGTTCATTTGTGAAATCGGCGAGAATTTAAATGAACAGGAATTTATTTGCATGTCTATGATTTCAATCCAAATTGTTGATGAATGAAAATGATCTAACTTATTAATCATTTCTTCTTTAATATTCGATTTCAAAGATGAGCTTAATTTTTGTGTTTAATTTACCCTGTCCAGATTTACACTTCTTTGACTTTCTTTTCCTCTGTGTTCAGATTCATTTGGCAGAATTTGCTGTCTCGGAGTTGGAATCAATTATGGCCAGATTGCGAATAATCTTCCCTCACCATCCCGTGTTGCATATCTCCTTAGATCTCTCAACATAAGTAGAGTTAAACTTTATGATGCTGATCCAAACGTATTAAGTTCATTTGCCAATTCTGAGGTGGAATTCGTCATTGGGCTCGGGAACGAGTATCTTGAGAAGATGAAAGATCCAGTTCAAGCTCAATCTTGGATTCAACAGCATGTTCAACCTTACATTTCCCAGACTAAGATCACGTGTATCACTGTCGGGAACGAGATTCTAACAGGCAACGATACTCAGTTAATGTCTAATCTCTTCCCGGCAATGCAGACGATCTATGGGGCACTTAGCAATCTCGGGCTGAGCAAGGAGGTGTATGTGACAACTGCTCATTCAATTGGAATCTTGGGTAATTCCTTCCCACCTTCCGCAGGCACATTCCTACCGGATCTTGCTGAGTACATCCAGCTTATAATCAATTTCCATTCACAGACTAAATCACCGTTCCTTATAAATGCCTATCCCTTTTTTGCGTACAAAGATAATCCTGGTCAGGTTTCACTTGAGTACGTTCTTTTCCAGCCTAATCCAGGCACAATGGATCCAATTACCAATTTGAAATATGATAACATGTTATATGCACAAATTGATGCTGTTTACTCAGCAATAAAAGCAATGGGCCGTACTGATGTACAAGTTAAAATTTCAGAGACGGGATGGCCGTCAAAGGGGGATCCGAATGAGGTAGGAGCAACACCACAGAATGCTAAATTATATAATAGTAACCTTCTGAGCCGGCTGCAGCAAAACGAAGGTACTCCAGCAAATCCATCGGTGCCAGTCGAAGTCTATGTTTTTGCACTTTTTAACGAGAACCTAAAGCCTGGTCCAGCTTCTGAGAGAAATTATGGACTCTATTATCCTGATGGTACTCCAGTTTATGATATTGGGATACGAGGCTTTCTTCCACGCATGGCTTATGCAGCTTCCTGGAAAAACGTAAGAAAATATATGAATTTGCACGAGTTTCTGTGCCCTTTTTTCTTCTGCTTCGAAATGCTGCATGAATTGTCTCGTCTGATGTTATCTTTACTCGCATTTTTCAGGAATTATCTTTCTTTGTTCTTTTTCTTTCCCTAGCTTCCTTGATATGTACTTTATAACAAAGGGATTCCTACATTGATTGGAAGGGAGGGAATTGACGAAGAGAAGATGACGAGCACTAAATTTCCCTTAACTTTTGTTTTCGGTGTATTCTCGGGGAGATTTTAGTGGTAAGTATTTCGATATCTCTCATGCTCTTTTATTTAGCATTAACGCGTGTATGGATAACTTACTTTTTCTTAATTTTAAGATAAAAAAACTTATTTATGTAAAAGTAACTTGCTTGTTTCCAACTTCGATCGATGAAAGTATATATTTATAAAACTTGCTTGTTTACATTTTTAACTTGGCCAAATCCCGAATAACTTTCTCAGATAACTGTTAATTGAATAAACAATAACTGTCTCAATCCTTAAATGGCTTGTAGTAGTGAATATGAATCTCAGAGTGAGAAAAGATTCCTATCTTCAGGACAAAAGTCCATAATGGCTTCTATCAGGAAAAAAAAATCTTATCTCAGTCCAAAGTTTGATAATGTGGAGTTTTTAATTAACCGCCAAAGTTGAAAGTAGCTGTTTCTGGCTCTGTTTTGTGAAAGCTCTATATGCAATTATCTCGTGTCTGTATCTCTTTTCCTTAGTTGCAATAAAGAATGTGTTGCATCGTTAAGAATGTTGGGCTAAGGTTGAAACAAATAACTTTTAATACCTTTTTGGATGGAAACGCATTCAAAAAACTTATAAGCCAAAAAAAAAAAGTGTTCCTTGGCCAAACATGCTCTAGGAACAATATTTATCCCGTGCCAACTTCGCATAAGCTTCACTATTGCCTCTGATCGTAGAATATCTGTATAACAAAAAATAGGTTTGACTGGTTCTAAACAGATTATAAATGGTAAATTCCAAGCTTAGTCTAGAAGGGAAGCCTTGAAACATATTGCCTACTCCTTATGTTGGTAGAAGATATTTTCTTGTCAATTCTCGACCTGTAGCATCATCCTGATGCTCGAGTCACTTGTCAGTTTGTGGTCTTCAACATCAAGGAGTCCATTTTTTATTATTATTTTTTTTTTTTTGTGCTCTTTTGCATCAGCAAGTTAACGAGGATAAGATTTATGGACGGACAGACATTCATAAAACGACGACCACCAAATTTCATCCCTGCTGACATTATACCGAAGGGATATGATTTGCCTGATCAGTGGATCAACATTCTTGAACAGGAAAAATCAAACTTTGCCATGATGTTTTCATTTGAACATGTTTCATGTTGTGTGAACTTGAAAAAATGGCTGCTAAAAATACACCAAGTTTTGTCTGGTTTGGTAGGCTATCACTTTAATAATTGTCAAAGACAGATTATAGCAGGCACAGCCTTTGCAATTTGCATTAATATACGAAGGGAAAAGATTAGTCCAGCCACTATATAGGAATATGACAGTTTTCCTTCATTATTCATTTGTAATTATATTGATATTTAATCTTTTATGTTTGTATTTGCAGGAAGTCAAATTCGAGTCTTCATTCACTGCCGATCAATTCAGCAGTTGGGATGTTTAGTTTATAGATACCATATACTTAGAATCATTTTGTTGAAGAGTGAGTTAGTTAAAGAAATAAATAAATAGCAGTCTTTCTAACCATTCAGTGATTGCCACCCGGCTATGAACTTGCTTGGGATATATGTAATTTGATGAAGTATTTTCATAATGCAAAAGACTTAGATGGCCGTATGTTCTCTACTTTTTTTTTTCCTGCTAATTTCATAAAATTATTAGTTAAATGCTTATGAATACATGGACGATTCTTAAGGTAACTGTTGCTTGGCTCGTAATCATTGGCATTTGCAGTTTCTAAGAAGTCAATGCCTAGTTTGGCACTTTACATCGATTAAAAACATGATTAATCACCTAACTTGTTATATCACTTGTTTTTTTCCTTCAATTCTGACTCCCTTATGGAAACCCCCCACCCCACAACATTTTTTTTTTTTTTTTTTGTAATTATAGTTTTAAACAATCCAGACATTTGTTAGCTTAATTACCAGAAAGAATAATAATATTCATGTAGAATTTAGATGATCAACAATTTAACCGTCACTTAATCGATGAATTTTCAATGTGTTTTTAGACATTGGACAATATAACAGTAACTCGATGCCACATAAACAAATGATTATTTACAATCCTGATGAATAACATTATTCAACGGGTAGAACTGATAAATTGTACGAAATGTGTAGTTATAAAATGCAATGTTCCAAATGGTGATTAGACAATAAGACCAATCTTTCAACCTAGTCTAGCTTTTTAGTACAACGATAAAACAACATATTAAACCAAATAAACCCCTCAAGAAGCCTGCTTTCCCTATATGGAGCCACCTTCTTCCCCAGCTTGCCTACTTCCTCCTATTTTTCAACAAGGGGGTAGTACCTCCGGTTCAATTAGGCAAAATGCATTGGACAAGTTCTTTTTTGTTTAATTTATAAAAGAATAATTTGTCACAACAATAGGCATCCTTCATGGCCGGCCAATCGAAAAAATGTAACAATGGACTTTCAAGCTAAATCATCATTAACAATTTGATTAAACTAAGACTCAAATGAGCACATTAATTTTAAGATTAGTGTTCTCAAATATACCACCATCTAGCACGGGCATACTATGAATAAATATAGTTTGATCTACTTCTCTCAACAAGATTAACATTATATGATAGAAACCAAGCTTAATAAATACCACATTCATGTACTGTGCTTCCAGCAATAATTTGAAATGTCGAAGCTCCTCAACAAAAGACATACGAGGAACCCTATTGTGGAATAGATATAGGTATATCAAACATTTTGCATCATAGATAGGAGGCTCAATTAAGAGAACTGCGTAATAAATTTCTTCATTTCTACTGAAGGAATGCAATAAAACACAAACCTGAAGACACTCTTATGACAAAAAAGGCGGGAGGGCGCGGGGAATCCAGAGTTCTCATATGTCCCATTTTTGAGAAACGACGAAGAATCAACACTGAACAACTGATAATATTGATCTGTAGCTCCAGCATATACTAATCTTGCAGAAAATGGCTTTTGACAGGTTAAAAAAACTCATAATGCATACGAAAGCAAAAGCCCACAATGACTATTTGTCTAACTTTTTCATCAATTTTACACAATCCCCATATTCTTGACATAATACAGTTTTTTTCTCGGGCGCCTGGACAGTGCCCTCTGTACAAACATTTCCCCGCATCAACCGAAACACATCCAATTCACTGAAACATATTCTATTCCAAAACAAGAAAGGGAATGATCATGGTCAAGAATGTGTCATAAGTTAGTGTCGCTGAACCTGTATAACGTGGATCCTTCTCTTTGAACTTTTCAGTCAAACCCTGAAAATGAAATTATATGGAATAAATAGAGAATTGAATGACATGGAGGTCAGGTCATAACTAAATTACATATAGGGATTAAAAACAATCTTACTCACACGACTTGTAGCATTATTTTAACATTTTTTTGTTTTAAATTACTCACTGAACTTTTGCAGAATTAAGAGAGATATTAGTGTTGCTAAAGCAAAAGAGACATCGCACGGTAAACTCAATAATGCATTCTGTTACACCTCAACAACGAGGCTCAAGTCAGAACCACGAGAGCCACCTCATTGTGATGACATGACAATTTTGGCCTAATCAATTAGTGACCAAACCCATACGACGGAATCGAATCCAATAATTGCAGCCGAGCCTCTGTAGATGAGGCGAACCCACAAGAGACACAAGAAAGGATCTTCATGAAAGATCTTGTTGTAAGTGGGTGATTTGACGTCTCACCGAAAAGGCTACTCCACCCAATCAATAAGTCACGTCAAGTCTTCTACCATCACCACACTCATTGCATCCTAGCCTGGGAATGATTGATTGATGTTTATAACAAGAGAGTCTAGCTGCGTGGATAAAGCTACGTGTATCTTCATCCAATGGCTCACCTTTATCATCTTATGCTATAAAAGCTCACAAGTAGTCACATTCAAAGTAATGCAAGTTTACATTCTAAAACTATACAACCCTGTTCTATTTAATTCTGCCCTACATATCCCCCCAGTTCCGAACCCGTTTGTCTTTGATATATTTGTATCCTAAGTTCGTCCCACACCCAAACATACACTTCACTATTAAAAACTATAAATAAAGGGGCCTTATGAATTGTATTTACATACACTGATTACTTAAAAAACTACAGCTCCCCCCCCCCCCCCCCCCCCCCCTTTCTTTTGAAGTCTGGCCATATATTCTAATGGTTTGTCCAAGTGTGGAGGACCAAAGCTTAGGTGGACGCTAGAGGAGCTAAGACCTGTTGCCCGCATCACCTCTCCAATAAGTGAGGTCAACACATTCTTTTATCGTCCAACAAGACGAAAAAGTGGAAGTTCCATAAACCACACAAACAAGACATATTTTTGCCAGATAAAAAGTAGCACGATGATAGGTTTCCATGCCACATCATATTTTCCATTAGTTGTGTAAGTATTTTCTTTTATTCAACTAACAGAAGTAGACGGATGGCTTATAACAAAAATGAAAGTAAAATATTAATTTTGTAAAATAATGTCTGATGAACAAAGTGGGACAACGTAATAGGGTGACTAAAAATGATTTAAACCCACGTAGCCATATAGCAATTAGAACTTGCTAAAAAAATTCAACTCATTAGAATTGTTACTCACCTTCACAATCATTCCACACCTGCATCCAAAAACAAAATCACTTTAAGAATATAGCCGGCACAAGGGTCCAAGAGCATTTGTATGTGATTATAATTAGAAAAAGGAAGCCTTACTCGACAAAATTGTCAAAATTCAGCTCGACCCTCTGGGCATTGCCATTGTTGTATTTGGAAATCAAAACTTGGAGAACAGATGGTGGTAATGCATACCCAAGACTGTATAGGGCATCCTTCAACTCCATCATGTCAATTTTCCCACTCCGATCTCTATCAAATCGTTCAAATACAGCCTACATGGGAAATGGCTAGTATAAAAGATAATATTATGGATTAAGTCCTATATCTAATTCCAAGAGAAATAATAACCATGCATACTTTAAAAAAAAAATAAAAAAAAATAAAAAAAGGAAAGAAGAAGAAGCACAAAGCTAATACACAATTTTATAGTGGATTATCCTCAATGCAAGACCGGCTACAATTTTTCATAAAGTTGACAAGAAGTTCGCAAAGGAGATATCTTATAGAAACCTGAAATGATCTCACTTCACCAAGCAAACTTAAAAATAAATGATGGTTGGAACAGAATTTTCAATATACTATTACCGAACTTTGATTACAAAGGAACGAATTCTGCTATAAAAGAACAGATCTAACATAGCAATTAAAACAGGAAATGACAAGTGTACGAGGACGTTCGAGAGGTCCACAACTCTCCCAATTGACTGCCAAAATTCTCCTGCATTCCCATAGCCCCATCCCTCTATTTATAAGTGATTTTTGCCTCTCAATCACTCCTAACAGAATGATAACTGTACCCTTGCTGCATGTGCCTTCTTTTCCTTTGTTAATTCGTTTATTGCCCTTGTTAGTTTATCACGTGAGTTGGGATCTATCAATATCATGCTTCTATATAAACTGGTCCCTCAAGTTCCTTCATATACTGTAGGAAATTTGGTGACATAATCCATAATATGAATTGGCCAATATACCGCTATACGAACACAAAAATTCACCTTGGGGGCAAATCCCCAAGTAGGGCATTAAATTCGCAATCGAGAAAAGAATAACAGAGTCAAATTCAACTCAAATCAGATATCAAGAATCATTCCAATAAAATAGTCTTACCGCATTGTCCTTCTTTGGATGTTACGTGATGAAATAAGGCCCAATTATAAACATTCCTATTAGAGAATTCCAACTGTATATAAATTGTATCATTCCTTTTCTATGTAGAATAAGCAAATCATATTCTCCTTAAGATTTTACATGGTATCAGAGCCCTAAATTACCGTACCCGTGCGTGCTTCCTGTCAGCGGCACCTTCGTAGTCTCCGGCGTCATCTGTAGTGAAATCCGGTCTCTGGCACCTTTGGGTACTTCGATTTCCGGCAAGAGCAACTCGTTGGTTCTTCATCTGTAGATCGCAAGTTCTTCGTTCGAGGTTGGTCTCTTGTCACTGCAACCTATTTCGACGCCATCGGTATTTCCCAGACCTCTAGCATAGTCATCTTTTTCTTCTAGTTCTTTTGTTGTAGAGCAATTTCAGTTTGATTGAAGCAATTTCAGTTTCTCATGTGTTGTTCGATCCTCATCGTCCCGGTCCCAGTCGTAATCAGTTTGTGTTGGGGCAGTAGGTGTTATTGGGTTGCTAATTGGACTATTGAGTCTTAGACTAATTTAATTGGGCAGTAGGTGCATTTTGGGCTACTAATTGGACCATTGAGGAGTGTTGGACTAACTTAATTGGACTATAATCTAATTAAATTGTTCAATTAATTCGTGATTTGGGTCTATTATTTTTGGGCTATTTTGTTGGATTAGGGACAAGATATTTGATTGGATTGTGTTTGGCTTTGGGCCTGTTGATTTGGATTGCTATTTGTTTGGTTTTAATCTGTTGTCTGAATCTTGTATTTTATGTCTATGGCCGAGCATAAAAATTTAGCTGTGACTGATGTCATTCCAGTGATGTCCAAAATCACGGAACATAAGTTGGTTGGTCCAAATTATTTGGATTGGTGTAAGACAGTTCGAACATATTTACAGAGTATTTCTATGGGCAATCATCTTACTCAAGATCCACCAAAGGATAATATTAGTTTGACATGGCTACGAGATGATGCCGACTATTCTTACAAATTCGCAACTCCATTGACACTGAAATAGTCAGTCAGATTAATCAGTGTGAGTATGTCAAGGAATTGATGGAATATTTAAAATTTATGTACTCTGGGAAAAGGAATATGTCACATACTTATGAAATCTGTAAGGGTTTTTACCGTGTTGAACAACAAGATCAGTCTCTTCAGGCTTCCTTTATGAATTTTAAAAAGACCTACGAAGAACTGAATGTTCTATTACCTTTTAGTCCGGATGTGAAAGTTCAGCAAGCTCAGCGGGAGAAAATGGATGTGATGATTTTTTTAGCTAGTCTTAGTCCTCAGTTGAAACTGCTAAATCCCAGATCCTCTCTAGTGCTGAAATTTCATCGCTGCAAGAAACCTTTACTAGAATACTTCGCACGAATACTAGTGCTTCTGTTGCTTCATCTGTTCCACCTTCTAGTGCTCTTATCAGTCATAATAGTAGAGGTAATACAAGAGTCGGAGGCACAAGTAGTCGGGTCAATCGAAGTCCGAATGAAAGGGGAATTATATGTCACTACTGTCATGAGCCGGGTCATACCAAGTACTTGTGCCGAAAATTACACAATAAATCTCAGAAGTCTCACTCGGCTCATATCAAAGCTACTACTGCTACATCTGTCTCATGTTCGAAGCGAATCATTACAGTTTCTGCAGATGAATTTGCCAAATTCACTCAGTACCAAGAAACATTGAAGAATTCATCTCTCTATCCCTGCCATTGCCAAGACAGGTAAACCTACTACATGTCTTGTCATCTTCTTCAAAATGGGTCATTGATTCTGGTGTCACAGATCATATTACATGTAATCCTAGTCTTTTCTCTACTTTTCAGTCGCATACACCTTCTCTTAATGTTACTTTAGCTAATGGTTCAACTTTTTCCGTTCTCGGGTCTAGCACTATTAATCCAACTCCATTAATTTCCTTATCCTCTGTCTTAAATCTGCCACAATTTTCTTTTAACTTAATGTCTGTGAGCAAACTTACTCGGACTTTAAACTGTTGCGCCTCATTTTTTCCTGATTACAGTCTTTTTAGGATCTTATGACGAAGAAGATTATTGGTAAAGGATATGAATCAGGCGGTCTCTATATTCCGGATACCCAGGTGCCCAAGTCCATTGCATGTTCAGGTGTCTTAACTCTTTTGAAGCACATTGTCGATTGGGACATCCATCTTTATCTATGTTGAAGAAATTATGTCCTCGATTTCAGAACGTATCGTCTTTAGATTGTGAGTCATGTCAATTTGCAAAACATCATCGTCTATCCTACATCATCGTCTATCCTCAGTCCCTCGAGTCAATAAAAGAGCTAGTTTTCCTTTTGAGTTAGTACATTAAGATGTTTGGGGTCCTTGTCCGACTGTGTCTAAAACTAGATTTTGGTATTTTGTTACTTTTGTCGATGATTTTTCTCGTGTGACTTGACTTTATTTAATGAAAAATCGGTCTAAATTATTTTCTCATTTTATTGCCTTTTGTGCTGAAATTAAAACACAATTTAATGTTTCGGTACATATATTGAGAAGTGATAATGCAAAAAAATATTTTTCATCTTCTTTCCAGACTTAAATGCTTCAGAATGGTATTCTTCATCAATCCTCATATATTGACACGCCCTCTCAGAATGGTGGGCTGAAAGAAAAAATAGACATATTCTGGAGACAACTAGGGCACTTCCGTTCCAAATGCATGTTCCTAAACAATTTTGAGCAGATACAGTCTCCACAGCCTGTTTCTTAATTAATCGACTGGCTTCATCTATTATTCACGGTGAGACTCCTTATAGAGTCCTTCTCCCTAATAAACCATTGTTTTTTTATTAAACCTAAAATATTTGGTAGTACTTGTTATGCTCGTGATGTTCAACCCTATGTAACTAAATTAGATCCCAAATCCCTAAAATGTGTTTTTCTGGGTTACTCTCGTCTACCAAAAGGATACCGTTGCTACTATCCGGGTCTTAACAAGTATCTTGTGTCAGCTGATGTCAACTTTGTGGAACATATCCCTTTCTTTCCCACTTCTTATACTTATTCCAGTAAGGGGGAGGATGATAATTTACTGATTTATCATGTCACTTACCAATCAAATAATGTTGATTCTACACTTGTTGCTCCCACACCACCACCACCACCACCACCACCCATTCACCAGGTATATTCCAGATGACGGAACCTTCCTGATGCATGTTCGGCACCTAACTCTTCTTCGACATTGGATCCAGTGATCTTGATTTACCTATTGCTCTTCGCAAAGGTAAACGTGCACCTATCCTATTTCATCATTTGTTTCTTATGATCACTTGTCTTCTTCTTCTAGTTCTTTTGTTGCTTCTCTTGACTCCGTGACTCTTTCGAGAAGTGTTCATGAAGCCTTATCCTATTCTGGTTGGCGTGATGCTATGATTGAGGAGATGAATGCTTTAGATGCTAATGGTACTTGAGATTTAGTCGTTTTACTTGCAGAAAAAAGGCTGTTCGGTGTAAGTGGGTGTTTGCGGTTAAAGTCAATCCTGATGGCTCAGTGGCTAGGCTTAAAGCCTATCTTGTGGCAAAAGTTTATGCTCAGATTACTCTGACGCTTTTTCTCCTGTAGCGAAATTAACGTCTATTCGCTTGTTCATTTCTATAGCAACTACACATAATTGGTTTTTGCATCAATTGGACATCAAGAATGCTTTCTTACATGGCGATCTCTAGGGGAAAGTTTATATGGAGCAACCACCTGAGTTTGTTGCTCAGGGGGAGTATGAGAAAGTGTGTCATTTTCGAAAGTCCTTATATGGTTTGAAACAGAGTCCACATGCGTGGTTTGGAAAATTTAGTCAGGCAGCAGAAAAGTTTGGAATGCAGAAGAGCAAGTCTGATCACTCGATCTTCTACAACAGTCCAACTCCAGCATTATTCTCCTTGTTGTGTATGTTGACGATATTGTTAGTACTAGCAGTGATACTATGGGAATTTCATCGCTGAAATCCTTCCTTCACACTCGATTTCATACGAAAAACTTAGGGATGTTAAAGTATTTATTGGGAGTTGAAGTGAGAAGGAGCAAGAAAGGCACCTTCTTGTCTCAGAGAAAATATGTACTTGACTTATTAACTGAGACGGGAAAGTTGAGAGCTAAGCCAAGCAGTGCTCCAATGCTTCCTAATTTGCAACTTACCAAAGATGGTGACTTATTTGAAGATCCTGAGAAGTATAAAAGATTGGCTGGGAAATTGAACTACCTTACAGTAACTCGTCCTAATATTGCGTATTTTGTTAGTATTGTAAGTCAATTCAAGTCTTCCCCAACAGTTCATCATTGGGCAGCTTTAGAACAAATCATGTGTTATTTAAAAGGAGCTCCTGGACGTGGGATACTGTATAGAAATCATGGACATACACACATCAAATGCTTCTCAGATGCAGATTGGACGGGTTCCAAGATTGATCGAAAATCTACTACTGGCTACTGTGTTTTTGTTGAAGGAAATTTGGTCTCATGGAAAACTAAGAAACAAAATGTTGTGTCCCAATCGAGTGCAGAATCAGAATATAGAGCTATGGCACAATCGGTGTGTGAGATAATGTCGATATATCAGCTCTTAACTGAAATCGGTCTTAAGGCTTCAATATCAGCAAAGTTGTGGTGTGACAATCAAGCTGCTCTTCATATTGCTTCTAATCCTGTGTTTCTTGAAAGAACTAAACATATTGAGATTGACTCTCATTTCGTTCTTGAGAAGGTGCAGCAGAATTTAATCTCTATAAGATATGTGAAGATTGGAGAACAACTAGGAGATATTTTCACAAAGGCTCTAAAAGGGAATCGGGTTGATTATATTTGTAACAAGTTGGGCATGATGAAATAAGGGGGAGTGTTACGTGATGAAATAAGGCCCAATTATAAACATTCCTAATATAGAATTCCAACTGTATATAAATTGTATCATTCCTTTTCTATGTAGAATAAGAAAATCATATTCTCCTTAAGATTTTACATGCCCAAAAGATTATGTGATTATATCTGGCATGTAATGTCACCTGCCAAACTGATAAGGAGAAAAGGGGGATAGTTTGTTTTATTTGAAAACCTTCACTGTAAATACTAGCCAATTCTGCCAACCTCAAAACTTCCGGGAAGAACTTCTTACTCTGTATGCTATACAAAAGCTGAGAGTTTACACAATAATAAATGTGGTCGGCTACATCAATACTTTTTTGCCACATTGGATCCAACAGACTATTGGTCTAATAGAACGAAATCTCTGCAAACACCCTGGACCGTGTTGCTTTTGGTCTACATCATCCTCCTAGAAGATCAGATCATCCTCCTAGAAGATCAGATCACTCTTTTGAAAAGGTTCTTCTTTAGGTTATGCAACTCGTGGTTCTCTTAATTTATCCTCAACTGGTAACACCTCTGCCTTTTTGTGTATATCCTCATTACAATACCCATAATCAATGACCAACTAATTATCAACCCCCAGTCTCTTTCCCTCAAGTACCATTTCTTAATACATTGATGTAGAAAACAATGTCCAATATTTGCCATTAAGTGATATTAAACATGCGCCCTGCAATTAGTCTTTTTTCAAATTAACAAATTTCTAAGCATATAAATTTAGTCCTAGTACTTTGGTCTAGAAAATAATGCTTCAACCAATTTTCATATGGCTGTTTTGCATACACTTTTATTTCAGTTTTAAGAAAAACTGACACAACGACATTTCTTTTATACCAGCATTTAAGATGACCCGCATAATCTTGTTATTTCTAGTCATATTAATAGAAAAATAAACACTTGGAAGAGTAGAATGTTCATCTAGAGCTGATATTAGAAATAGACTATCTCTTCAACACGAGAGCCTCCTAATTCCGAGTAAAGTTACAAAGTATTTTCAATGTAACACGACAAAATGGGTACGCTTGCAGAATTTCAGCACATAATTTGATTTAATGTGCAAGCAAACCGTATATAAATCCCCTTCCAAAGTTACAAGTAATCTTATTATATCTACGAAACTCTGCTTCGATAGATTCTACAAGTATCTAGTTTTTGTCCTTTTAAATTGAGAAAAGAAGTTTAAGAAAGAAAAGAAGTTAATGAATGAGCTTCTTTCATCTGTTAAACCGAGAAAAGACTACTCACCCGCCAGTGACTAAGGCAACTCCATATCTCAGCGAATTCTTTCGGCCCTGTATTAGTAGCAAATAATTAATCACCGATTTCACCAAATTGGATAAATTAAGATATAATGATGAAGCAAGCTCGAATCTTGCTGGTGTACAGGAAAATCCTGCCAGGCTTTTTAAAGGGAAATATTGCTCTGTACACCATGCTATACTCACATTAGGGGCCACCATGAAGAAAAAAATCGTTGGCTCCCTATTGTTATGGGACTATAGACCATTGCTGTACACGCACAGTATACACATAGCAACTCTCTTTTTACAGGTGATTTACTTGTCATTTTTATTGACCCAAAAAAAAAAAAAAAAAAAATATATATATATATATATAGAGAGAGAGAGAGAGAGAGAGAGAGAGAGAGAAAACAAAACAAAACAAAACAAATAAAAAAATAAATAATCACCATACAGGTGCTGTCTCTGTGAGTTATTCCCCTGTAGAAGGGAATAACTCATTCCAACAAGCTCTAGCTCCGCATACAAAAGCTAGCATTTGAGACAACAAGAGAAGAAAGAAATAATAAAAGTACATTGTTGCACAAAATCTTTTGCAAATCCACCCATTTTCCACTTCACATTGGAAAAAGGCCTCACATTGCAAGCAAATTAAAGGTAATTTCCATTTGATTTTAAATAACACCAACTATACCCTTCCACTTCCAATATGTAGGACAAAATAGCAAAAGATCAAGAATTAGATTTTTTTTCTCTATGAAGCAATTAGAGTAAAAACAACTTTAGAACGAAAATTCACTTTTCTCAGGAAGGAAAAGAAAAAATAAAGAAAAGAAGTAAAATTTTCAACCTTTTATATGGAAAAAATAAATTTCAACCTTTTATACCAGCGAATCCAGGGGAAAAAAAAGGGAAGTAAATATTTGTCAAACAAATCAAAAAAAAAAGGAAAAAAAAATTTTTCAAAAAAAAAAAAAAAAAAAAAAAAAAAAAAAAAAAAAGAGAGAGAGACAGAAAATAGAACCTCTCAAAAATTAAAATAAGAAAAAAAAAGAAGAAGTATAGCTCAAAGAAACTGACCAATTCTGAAAGAAGAATCATTTGGGCCTCTGAAAAGAAAGATGAGCAACCGCAAGGTTCTGAGGCTGAACCTTTGGTACTTCCAAGCGAGTGCTTCTTGAAGCTCCTTTTCTTCTATGAACCCGTTTTGGTTCCTGTCCACCATCTGGAAGCTCCGAATAACATCCGGGTGGGTACCCGGTGGAAACCAACTGTAATTGCTATGCTGCTGGTAAGGGTTGTACTCGTATCCATGCGGTGGCAAGTGGGTTGGAACGGACCCTACAGTGCTGGTGGTGGTGCTTTGAAGGTGGGGTTGGGTTACGGGGGCATAGGGGATGTGGGTGTGGTTTGGACCGCCCGGGGCGTAGTACGGGTGGGCGACCCGGGGCTCGCCTGGATCGGGTAAAGGTGGTGCAGAAGGGGAGTATGGTTGCTTGCCGCTTTGAGAAGACATGAGTATTGAGTTTAGAATTGAATCCAAGAAAATCTTGTTCGATAACAACAGAAAAATTAAAAATTTTTATAGAAAATTATAATTGAAGAGGAATTGTTGATGAATGAATTTTGGTTGCGAATCGCATAAACTTTAATTGGGAATATACTGCTGAAGGCGTTAATTTATTAGCCCGATATTCTGTAGTATATTCTGGATGTCAATTGCAGTGTCAGCTTTTGTTAATTGATTTTTTTTTTATCGTTAGAGATAAAGTAGGTTTTATTTGTAAGAGAAGAATTCAAAAATGACGATTGAAATAATGAAATAACGATCAAAAATTGATTTTAATTGAATTTTAAGTTGTACCAAACACGCTCTATATTTTACAGTATTTATAATAATTTTATAAATGATGTTATCCAAAAATGATTAGAATTAATAAAAAAATAAATTCTCATGTAGACCTAACATTTTTGGAGGATCAAGTTTGGCTTAGCATTTATAATTCGGCAATTTTAAAATCAATTCAACTTTGATTCTCATTTTTATCAAAAATACGTTTTTTTTTTAATCACATTTTTTATTAAAATAATATTATACGTAAATAAAAAAAAAATTATTTTTCATCCACACATTCTTTATCAATTTGCTATTTTAAAATTCATTTTTCCATAAAAATGAGTCTCAAACAAACACCCCTTAAAAAAAAAGGAATTGATTGCAATGATATAAAAATTAGGGGAAATTGGTACAAATGGTTCCAAACATTTGTCGATCTTGGCTTTTGGTTTTAGACCTTTTAATTTTGATATTGAAGTCCCTATGTTATTCCATTAGTAATAAAAACTGATTGCTAATTTTGCACGTCAGCTATACTTTCTTTTTAGTTGGAGACGACATTGATTGTGGATGTGGCCACTAGCAGTGGGGGAGCTAGGGGCTGTGACGTTTGGGGTGGGGGATAGAGTAGGTTTGGAGAACAGGTTTGGAGAACAAAATGATATTCTTATCTTTCTTTGTTTAATTTTTTTTTCCTTATTTAAGTTTTTCTTTTTACTTATTTTATTTTAAGTTAGAAGAATTTGCCCCTTCAATTAAAAGAAGTACAGTCCACCCGTTGATCATTTTTAACACGGTTCTATTAAAAGAACCAATTGCGCACCTATTGCATATGTTTTCGACGCCAATGGCAAGATTTAAAAGTTTATGATAGCGAGCAGACGTTTTTTTTTTTTTTTTGGAAAAAAAATAGGTAATTGAAAAATAAAAAAGTAATTTTAATTTTTAGATCGTAAATTATATATAAAAAACTAGGTAAAAAATTTAAACCCTCCTCCTTTATCCGAGTTTGGGACCGGCTACTTAAATTTAGAGTTTGCGGAGTTAAAAATTGTGTTATTTGTTTGTTTATTCGTATACAATTTTTTAAAGAAAATTTAAAACAGTATTAAAAATTATTTTTTCAAACAACGCTGCGCGTCCCCTTACATGTAATTTTCGAAGTAAATCCATTCTAAAAATTGAAAGGGTAATCGAATGCCTTTTCAATTGTGAGAAGTTTTCATTTCGAAGATTATATAGAAGTTTTTTAGTTCGAAAATTATATATAATCTTCGAAGTGAAATACATCTGACAATTGAAAGGGCAATCATTCGATTACCCTTTCAATTTTCAGAAGGAATTTACTTCGAAAATTATATGCAAAGATACGCACAGCGTTGTTCGAGAAAAGAATTTAAAATGTAGATATATAGTAGTAATAGTACCAAGTATTAACAAAAATTTAACTAAATTGGTGGAAAGAATTTTTTGTTCTTTTTTTTTTAATTAAAAGAGATGGAAAAAATAAAAATGAAATCTTTATTTTTTTATTTTTATTTTTAAAATAGATAAAATATAAACCCTCCTCCTTTATCCGGGTTTGGGACCGACTACTTAAATTTTCAGTAGGTGGAGTTAAAAATTGTACATAAACAATTTTTTATAGCGTGTACAATTTTTTAAAGAAAATTAAAAGTAACGATAAGAAAAGAAAAGTTTCATCAATATAATTAAATCAAATATCATTTACTTGACGACATACAATTTCGGCATATTTATCTTGTAGTCGAAAATTAGCGTCCTGTCAATCCTTAACGCATATTAACGCTTCTAAATTATCTTCTTTTAGTCAACTCCTAACCTTGCTCAAAACTCTTTTACCTGCACTAAAAGCAGATTTCGAAGCAACAGTGCTAACCGAATGTGTCGGCAGATTTTTTGCAATCACAGATATAACTGGCCAACGTCATTCATACCTTCGCCAGAATTCAATTATTTCGTCTGAACTTTTTTAATTGTTTTATCTGTTGGCATATTCTGGTTGAAATAATCAATTAATTTAGCAGGCAATGTATTACGGCTTGAGTTCGTAGATGTTTGATGAGAATGAGATACAGATGATGACGACATGGCAGTGGTAGTAGATGAACACATTGTAGATGAATCACATCTATACGAATTAATGCCTTGAAATAAATTAAATATTTCTCCATCTTCTTCTTTAATTTCAGTGGAAAGAGTAGGTGCAGATGGTATCCGACTAATATTGGTACCCATTCGATTGACATATAATTCATATAGTTCACATAATATTTGCTCTAAATTTTCATATGTGATAGGTGTATCAAATGTCAAGACGTTTGAAATTTGATCAATTATATATTTAGTTCCCGATAAATTATATCGGGGGTCCATCACGCATGCTAAAGAAAATAACATAGGCAAATCTTTCCAATATTTTTTAAATTTTAATCCTATAACAATTATAATTTCACTAAAATTAGGATCATTTTTGTATTTATGAAATGTTATTGCAGTGATATAAAGACGTTCAAGCACCATACAGCTGGTAGGATAGTAAACGTCCAATAAAATCTTAGTGGTTTCATAAAAAGATGTCAAAAATCTTTTAACTTTCGAAGCTATTTGTCAATCACATTCAGTCAACATACTCTCGTCATCACTTCTAACATGTCTATTGTTATAAAAGTCAGTTATTAAATGTTCAAAGCCTTTACATGACTTTAATAATAAGTAAGTAAAGTTCCACCTATAACCTACATCGCTAACAAATATTTTAGTATTTTGCACTCCTATTTTGGCACAATAATTCTCAAATGCTTGTTTTCTACTTGGGAAGATTGTGATATATTTTAGTACGTTCCTAATATTTTGAAATTCATCATTTATATATTTTAAACCATCTTAAACAATTAAATTCAAAATTTGACATACACAACGAATATAAAACAAATACCCACCAAAATCAGGTTACAGTGCACTATGCAATTTATCGGCAACTACTTTATTAATACTAGCATTATCAAAAGTAAATGAACTAATTTTACCTTCACAATGATATTCTCTAACAATACTAATAATAGTATTAAATACATTATTAGCGTTGTGAGGAAACTCAATAATTCTAAAAGCAATAATTTTTTTATGCATGTACCAAAGTGAGTCTATATAATGTGCAGTTGCAACTATATATGCTCTTTTATTAATCATTTCTCATATATCCGAAGTCAAAGATATGACACCCCCATATTTTTGTAAATCCATAATTAATTGTTGTTTTGTTTCAGTAAAATATTATATTGTATTGGAACAAAGAGTGTTTCGACTTACCCCAACGTACCTTGGCTACATATATTCTTTTACATGCGAGACGTAGTGTTGGTTGTCAATTAATGCCAAAGACAACTCAGCACCAGCAACAAGCTTCACCATTCCGATTCGAACTCTCTCCTCCGAATACACCCATGTGGATAGGGGTGCAGCAGAACCACCGGCGTCTGGACTGTCAAATTGCAATTTTGTTTGATAGCTCGGAATAAGTCCGTATTTGGCCGCACATACTTTGTAATGACGGTTGAGATGGATGGTACCAATTCCTCTTTGCTATGCCAATCTTTGTTGACAGTATTTACATACTACTTTGGATTCTGGGACTACATTGACGATTTTTCCCGTTGAAATCAACTTAAAGTGATCCCAACATTTTGCTTTTTTTTCCCCTTTCGTTTTCCCCTCACATCAGGAATGTTTAATTCAGCCTCTTCTTCCTGATCGTGTTCCGCTTCGGGAACGTCAACATCATCCAAATTAATTGGATAATTTGGATTGCCGCTTACATGATGATGAAGATCCAAATCTGTAATATCTTCAAGTAGGGGTACGTCATTTAAACCTTCAAATTGATTCCGAAATTGATTTTGCGGTGTCATAGGCGATTCGTTTCCTCCCACACCGAACAAATTTTCGACGAATGTGCGTGGATCCATTTGTTTAATTGTAATGAGTAATAACTAGTAAAAGAATAATTGTATAAATGTAGTGAGAAATGAAAATTGGATGAAATTTCAATAAATATAGTGAGAACTGAGAAATGAGAATTAGATGAAAAAGTTCAGTACCATTTGAGCCAATTTCCGAAATATTATAACAATAGAACCAATTTTCCATTTTTTGCCATCCATATAAGCACCTTTAATCTTAAGATATTGAAATTAAATAATTGTTTCAAAGACCAAAAATTGTTTTCGTGTAATTTCTTTAAAGTTGTTCATTGCATCTCTTGCAAAAATTCTTATAATGGTTATTTTTGAATATTTGGAGAGTAAAAATTAGTCCTTGAAAACATTTATGTAGCATTTGTTCATATACGAATTCAGCTAACGTAAAGGGCCTCTATGAGCCCCATTTTTCATATAGAATGCATTTTAGAATAGTAAATTGATGGAGAATGCGTGGTTAGAAAATACGGAAAAATTTTGAATTTGCGTGTAATATTATTTTATTGAAAAATGTATGATTGAAAAGAAGAAAAATAAAAATATATTTAAAAAGAATGAGAATCAAATAAAGGCAAAATATTAATTTTAATTACGCATTCATCACTACTCATTATTATTCAAACATTGTAAACAATTTATAAATTTATCAAATGGATGCTTAACTTGAATCCAAACATTTGAACACCACCTCCAGGCCAAACTCAATGTTGAGTAGACCTGTTCGTGTTCATAAAAAGATAATCTCCTAGGATAATTTAAAATAGTGATAGTTAATAAATACGCACTCATTTTTAAAATTACTCATGATTGTAAAAATGATGTTACAACGTT